CTGTTAAACATCAAAATCTATTCGACAGACTTTTGTTGAAGTAACAGAGAGTAGCAGTGCAAAGCTGATACCACCCACACGAAAAATACTATAGTAATGTATAGTAAATACAGTGTTTTGCTACAGTAAAGTGTGTTATAGCGTCCACATGACTTTGGTATTGAATGTTAAAGCATACTGTAATATTAACTAACAAATACTTGAGTATACTTTGGTTTTACTACAGTAAACAGGTGTATTGCAGTAGGGTTGGGCCGTTAAACGATATTATATCGAATCGCGATAAAATTTATAGCAATAACAATGATAAGCCCCTTTAACATCTATTAAATCTTGTTTTCGCCTTTAGTGCTACTGTTAAACATCAAAATCTATTTGAGAGACTTTTGTTGAAGTAACAGAGAGTAGCAGTGCAAAGCTGATACCGCCCACATGAAAAATACTATAGTAATGTATAGTAAATACAGTGTTTTTGAATCATTAGCAGTAAAGTGTGTTATAGCGTCCACATGACTTTGGTATTGAATGTTAAAGCATACTGTAATATTAACTAACAAATACTTGAGTATACTTTGGTTTTACTACAGTAAACAGGTGTATTGCAGTAGGGTTGGGCCGTTAAACGATATTATATCGAATCGCGATAAAATTTATAGCAATAACAATGATAAGCCCCTTTAACATCTATTAAATCTTGTTTTCGCCTTTAGTGCTACTGTTAAACATCAAAATCTTTTCGACAGACTTTTGTTGAAGTAACAGAGAGTAGCAGTGCAAAGCTGATACCGCCCACATGAAAAATACTGTAGTGATATATAGTGAATACAGTATTTTTGAGTCATTACTTCAGTAAAGTGTGTTACAGTGTCCACAACACTTTGTTAATGAATGTTAAAGCATACTGTAATATTAACTAACAAACACTTGAGTATACTTTGGTTTTACCACAGTGAACAGGTGTATTGTACTAAGACTTGGTCGATAAACGATATATCAAATCACGATAAAATTTGTCAATAATGATAAGCTTCTTTAACTTATATCAAATCTTGAATTCGCCGTTAGTGAGTATTTGACAGACTTTTGTTGAAGTAACAGAGAGTAGCAGTGCCAAGCTGATACCACCAACATGAAAAATACTATAGTAATGTATAGTGAATGAGGTGTTTTTGAACCATTACTACTGTAAAGTATAAGTTAAAGTGTCCACAACACTTTGTTAATGAATGTTAAAGCATACTGTAATATTAACTAACAAATACTTGAGTATACTTTGGTTTAAATTGATAATATACTCAGGCCCGTAGCCAGCCTGGTGAAAGGGCTGTTTTTTTTTTTCTCAAAACGTGGACTTTTTTTTTCTAGTTATTCACCTAATTTTCTATTTAATTATGATGTTTAAATACTCTAATAAGTGGCATTTTAAGCGCTATTTTTGGCTGGATTAGCTTGTTGTATCCTCCATTTTGATGTACCAAAAATATTTCCTAAAGATTTATAATAAACAAATATAAAAAAGAGCTGACAATTCGTCACCTTAGAATTATAATGTTCTGACATTTTTATTCAAAATTTAATTATTGACATATTCTTATTAAATGACAACTTATTTACATTATGACTTATTTACATTAAGACTTTCTATTTAAAAAAACAAATGTTACACACATACTGTTTGCTATGGAATGCAAAAACTTTAAAGCTCAATATCTCAAAACCATTCAGAACGCAGATAAAACCTTATAATTCCAAGATGACAAATTTTTTCTTGCCTCTCTTGAAAATTCATCTAACAGCAACAGCCTAGTTAGTATAAACAGCAAAAGTCAGTCTTAGGCACTCGAAAAAAATATTAAAAAGCCTTTACTGACTTGGCTATCTCTTAAAACTGCACATACACGTTTTGATTACACTTGACTTTATAAGGGTAACCTCCACAGTTTTAAGGAACAGCCATGTCAAAAAGGCTTTCTAGTATTTTTCCACAGTTTTTGAGTGCCTTGGATTGATTTTGATGTTTATTCTGATGAGTCCCAAAGAGCACCAACACATTATTTAAGCTACCTCTGTAAACTTTTAGATTTTTATTCACAGCCTAATTAGTATTAAAATTAGCTTTAATAGGCTGCTTTTAGTGCTTCGGACCTTTTCTTTTTTTTTCTAATAAGGTTAAAAAATAAGTAATAAGGTTCAAGATTTAGGATAAAAGTTAGGCTACTTGTAAAATGTTTTTATTAACAAGTCGGTCAATAGTGAAAGTTGACTTCACGTATGTCATAATGGGGGGTGTGTGTGTGTGTGGGGGGGGGTCACGGACCTGATTTTGGATAATATACTTTGGGTTTTACTGCAGTAAATAAGTGTATTGTACAGGCCCTTAGCCAGACCCGTCCCTCACTGACATAGGTTTAGAATTTGTCCTATTTTGACTGCTATGCTATCATAAACATTGAAAATAACCCATCAAAAACTCATCAAATTAAAATTAATTTCAATACAATTGTTGTTATCCATGATTTTTCAAATGTATTTATTTATTTTATTTTTTACAAAAGTGGCTAGAAAAGCTCCACTTCATTGTTATTATTTATTATTATTATTATCATTACTTGAATGGCCACGTTCCGACTAAGGAAGTTGAATGTGCTGGCCAGTTTGTTATTTGTAATTTGCCTAATAAATGACAATAGGTTTGTTTTTCATTTAAAATAGATTTTTTTAATCTAATGAAATGTGTAATAAATGTGTATTTTAAAAATAAGTATTTTCTTCATATTTCTTTAATCTTAATCTAGGAAATATATTTGGGACATCAAAAAGTGTGGTTATGATGATCATCCGATTAGCTAATCCCGCTACAATAGTGCTTAAAATGTATTTAAATCTCATAATTAAATACAAAATAAGACGAATAACTACAAAACAGTCCAGTTTTAGAGAACAAAGAACCACCCCTTTCACCAGGCTGGCTACGGGCCTGTTGTAGTATAGTAGGGCTGAACAATAACGTTATCGCTTGACAATCAGTATCACAATGTGTGTATGCGCATGATTAGATTGTTTATCAAAGATAAAACAGATATTTTTAAATATTTATGATGACCATGTTCTGTAATTTCTGTACTTGAATAATGTTACACGGTCACATACCACACTTTTATTTGTGCGCTGCCGTATTTTCATGCTTGTAATTTATTATATGCTGATGCACTTCATAGAAAAAGACTTGATCATCCCAGTCGATATGTAATCTTTTCAAATAGAGCTATTCAAATCAACCGGTTGAAATTATATTCATATTGCAATATGTATTGAAGCAAAATAAATATTGCAATGTCAGATTATTTTCAACATTATGCAGCCCTATAGTAAAGTATATCATATAGTTGTATAAAACTACAGTATTATAACAGTTTTAATAATGACAGTATTATAAGTCATTTGACATATTATCCCAGCTGTAGAGTTAAGTACTTTTCAAACACTGTAGTATTTACTATACATTATGGTATCTTTTCATGTTTAAGGTAAGACACTTCAGGTGAAAGAGTTTTTCAAACTCAAAGATGCTGTTTTAAATTGTGAAGAAATCTGTTTTTGAAATAAATGAAGACAGCAGAAGTCACTGATTCATTTAAATTTACAGCCTGACATGTTTACTGCTCCAAAATATTTTAAATGGTTCCCAAAATAAAATATACTGTGTTCAAAAGGGAAAAAAGTGTTAGCTTTTTACCCAGACATGTAAAAAAATATACTTTTAGAGCTGTAATCACAAAAACATGATATTTTTATCCAAGGTTATCATATCTTCAGAATAATATACGGGCCCATGCCTATTTATGGCTAAAGAGAAATTAGGGATTGCTATGGAGAGATTTACTGCTGGCTGAGAGCTCATCTATGATACCAATTTGGTTTGGTCAATTCACTTCTGTTGCATGTCTGGACAGTTGAAGGAAATCAGGGAACCTGGAGGAAATCCACACAAGCACGGGCAGAACATGTAAACTCCACATTGAAACATCGAAGGGCCTGGTAAGGACTTGAACCAGTGACATTCTTGCTGTGAAGCAACAGTGCTAACCACTGGGCTAACGTGCTGCCCTATCTAGGAAAAGGGGGTGAAAGGGAGATTCTTCAAAGCGAAGGACAATCATAAGCATGTGATCCTTTTGAAATTAGTTTATAAAAAAACTTCCCATATTTCTGTGATGAATTTTTACTCTAGTCTCCAGGTCACATGATCCTTCATAAATCATTCTAATTGGCTATTTTATTATGATTAATTATAAATAAAATAATTTACTGGGGCATTAGTAATGTTGCAAGACATTTTATCCTAATATTTTTGTGTCACTTTGCAGCTATTTAATTTATCTTTTATCAAAAACTTTCATTGTTAATTATTGTCTTTTATTACGTTCTAAAATACACTCACAAGCCATTTTATTAGGTACACCTTACTAGTGTTGGGTTTGACCCCTTTTGCCTTCAGAACTGCCTTTATCCTTTGTGGCATACATTCAACAAGGTACTGGAAATATTCCTCAGAGATTTTGCTCCATATTGACATGATAGCATCACACAGTTGCTGCAGATTTGTCGTCTGCACATCCATGATGCGAATCTCCCATTCCACCACATCCCAAAGATGCTCTATTGGATTGAGCTCTGGTGACTGTGGAGGCCATCTGAGTTCAGTGAAATCATTGTCATGTTCTAGAAACCAGTCTGAGATGATTTGAGCTTTATGACATGGTGCGTTATCGTTCTGGAAGTAGCCATCAGAAGATGGGCACACTGTGGTCATAAAGGGATGGACATGGTCAGCAACAACTTTCCTCCCCATTCTGATGCTCGGTTTGAACTGCAGCAGATCATCTTGACCAAGCCAAGAGTTGCTGCCATGTGATTGACTGATTAGAAATTTGCGTTAACGAGCAGTTGGACAGGTGTACCTAATAAAGTGGCCGGTGAGTGTTTAGACACATATAATAAATAATGCCTCACAATATTACTATTATTATTGTATTATTATTATATTTCAAATTCAGCCTTGAAATTGTTTCTGAACTTTTGCCTGATATATATTTAACATTTTATCCCTAAACATGGTGAAAATTGTCTGACTTTTGTAGTGATAAAAGAAATGTCCTCAATAAATCCTTCAACTTGCATACAAATTAGTGCATATTTAAACATCACACTACAGAGTCTCTGATATACAGATAGTTTTCAATGTATTAGTTGATGTATTAGCAACTTAGCTATACTGATGTACTTGTCGTTTCTTGCCATAATGGTACATTTAAGAATGTTAAACAGACACACATTTTTAAAAGAGTGCAAGTATATTTTGGACATTTCTGAGCACAATTATATTTTATACTTAGAAAATGATTGATATCTGGGAACTTTCTCCTACATTTTTCTTGGTTTCACTGTTGTGCAAAAACCCAGAAATAGTCTTCAAAAAAAGCAAGAAGTGTGTAGGAGGTTTGTCAGTTTATAAAGTTCTGCTGGTTGAGTTTCCTTATACCGGATGGACGAACTGATAGACTAGTCTTTGTGACACGTCTGGCTTGCGGATGATGCCCTTTTTATAGTACTGCCGAATCGAGCGGCTGAGTTTGTCATAGTTCATAGCAGGACGGTTCTTCCTCAAGCCCCAAAGACGAGCCACGTGAGCTGAATCCTCAATTTTGAAGATCCCTGTGAACAGACAGATCCAATACACATCTATTAAAGGAATAGTTCACTCAAAAAATGAAAAATTACTCACTATTTACTCTCAACTTTCAGATGATTGTGAGTTCTGTTGAGCTCAAAAGAAGATATTTTTAAAAGCTATAAACCATTGGCTTTCATAATAGGAAAAACAGATACTATGGAAGTCAATGGTTGCAGGTTTTTTAGCATTCTTCAAAATACCGTCATTTGTGTTCAACAGAAGAATGAAACTTATGTTTAAAACAAGTAAAGGGTGAATAAATCAACCCAGGCTCATTATTTATACGTATCGCTGCATGCATTTCTGGACAGTGCAAAATATGTCCCAGGAGGTGTTTTTTTTGCAGTTTTTGTTTTCACGAATCCACCAGAGGCTGCTGTGTGCGCTTTTTCGGATCTCAAATCTCTCTCGTAAGTGCCATTCACGCCTGCTCTTCTCGTGTAAATCCGCGTGAGGCTGCTGTCGACTGACTGAATGACAGACTGACTGACTGACTGAGCGATCTCCTCACCCACCGCCTTCCCTAAACCCTACAGTGTTTTCAAAAGCAATCCATTCATTCATTTTCTTCTTTCATTCATTCATTTTCTTGTTGGCTTAGTCCCTTTATTAATCCGGGGTCGCTACCGTGGAATGAACCGCCGACTTATCCAGCAAGTTTTTTTTTTTACGAAGGATGCCTTTCCAGCCGCAACCCATCTCTGGGAAACATTCACACACACATACTCATACACTACGGACAATTTAGCCTACCCAATTCACCTGTACCGCATGTCTTTGGACTGCGGGGGAAACCGGAGCACCCGGAGGAAACCCGAACAAAGGCTGGGAGAACATGCAAACTCCACACAGAAACACCAACTGAGCCGAGGTTCGAACCAGCAACCTTCATGCTGTGAGGCAACAGCACTACCTCCTGCGCCACTGCCTCTCCCCAAAAGCAATCCAGAAAAAGAAAAGCCCCCACTGCAAACTGACTTTTACTACCCTTTTAAAGGTCTTACCACGTTTTCACCCTGCTATTTACTTCTGTAATAATTTTTTTACCTTTTGTTTTTGTTTTACTCGCTTTCTAGAACTGTTCTTTGCCAGACTCAAACTCTGTTGTTGCATTCAACCCCTCTCTGCATTTCATAAATGTATACAGAGTATGTTTTTCTGTGTTAGAATTAATGATGACAGAATTTTTATGTGAACTAGTATGAGGTTAATAACTTAATAAAAGTATGAGGTTAATAACTTAGACAAACGCTAATAATAATAAAAAAAATAGGATGGCATTGCATTATTTTGTTATCTTTAAGAATTAGACAAAAATATCAAATGTCATAAAATACTACTAATAAAAAAGTTTATAGATTATACTGTTGATTAATTTAAGACACTTAAAACATGGACTTTTTCCATTGCACAAAATGTTTATTTAAAATGATTTTTCCCCCCATTTTCATTGGTTCCACGCATTAAAAGTTCTTAATGCAATCATCAACAACAAAAAAGAATATTAACTTATTAATAAGTAGTGATGTTAAATAGTACTATACTACATTATACTACGTATACAAATATACTACGTACAAGTACTTTAGTAAGTCAGTACTTAATTTTTTGAAGCGTTCTGTATTTACAAGGTTAACAGTTTTTTATCATTCCATTACCAACAAACTGATCACTGTGCATTTTTAAAGGCACATTATGTTATTTTTGTGCCACTAGAGGGCACATATTTATAACAAACAAAGAGCTGTGTTATGCTGTGTTCACACCAGACACGGCATGCATGGATAAATCGCGATATTTGCGCGTAAATAGATGTATTGTATGTACAATAGATTGTATGTACATATATAAAGCTATACTTTGTATTACGTATATTATTTTTACATCAAATTATAAAAAAAAGCTTGAATTACTGCTTATGCAAGGTGTTTGTAATGCATTGTTTATGAGCGGGACTTTAACTTTAAGATTGTTCTGGCAGCCATTATCAGTCTCATACAATTTCCTTTCCTATAGTGTCAAGAAAACACTATAGTGGAGTTTTTCCTTTATTATTTGAACACATAGAAATCATTTTTTTGTGTGGTACTCTCCCATTCATTACACTCTAAGATTACCCAACTTCTGCTGATGAGAAACCCAGGAATGTGAACATTATGCATGGTGTCCTCACCTTTCTCTTTATTGAGCCAGCGAATGCAGCGTCCGTAACTGTGAGGTTTGAGCAGGAGTTCTCTGAGGAACTGCCACAGGTGAATCGGCTGACCAGAACAAGATGAATCTGCTTCTGACCACAGCTCTTCACCCTCTGTGAGAACACACACACACATATATACAGTCAGAATTATTAGCCCTCTTGTATATATTTTCCCCAATTTAGTTTAACGGAGAGCAGATTTCTTCAACACATTTCTGATCTTTTAATAACTCATCTCTAATAACTGATTTGTTTTATCTTTGTCATGATGACAGCACATGATATTTGACTAGATGTTTTTCAAGACACTTCTATACAGCTTAAAGTGACATTTAAAGACTTAACTAGGTTAACTAGGCAAGTTAGGTTAATTAGGCAAATCTGTAGACTATCAGAAGACAAAAATTGCTGAAAGGGGCCGATAATTTTGACCTTAAAATGTTTTTATTTTTTAATTAAAAATCTGCTTTTATTCTAGCTGAAATAAAACCCATAAGACTTTCTCCAGAAGAAAAAATATTATAGGAAATACTGTGAAAATTCCTGCACTGTTAAACAATATTTGAAAAATTCACGAATAAAATTGACCTCAGCTGTATATAAATTTCATATACGTTTAAATAATATATTCTGTAGCCAGAATAAATGGAAATTCAGAACTGCACGTGTATGCAAGCGTGTGAGAAAACACAAAATCAATGAGCCTGCCTGAACTTTAGACGTGCCTGACACAAGCATGTTTGTCAACCATTTCACATCTCATCATTGATTTTAATGGGAATGTTTTCTCACAATGCAGGTGGAATGTAACTTATAATATGAATGAAATCAGAAGGAAAATCTTGTCCTTTATTGCAAATAATAAATGGGTGTTTTATTTTACTGCTTAGTTGAAGGCAAAATTATAATTATTTTTTTATTTTATTTTTTCATTAATAAGCAAGGACATTTTTCACAGTATTTCCTGTTGTATTTTCCCTCTGCAAAAAGTCTTATTTCTTTTAGTTTTCCAGTGTTGACAACCTGGGAAATATTGTAAAATATTTCACTTTCAAAGGAGGGCTTTATTAACTACTATATGCTATATAAAAATGTAAAACATTAAACATTTTAGTTTTTTATTTAACTATTTAAATTAAAAATAGTTGTAGTTTAGGTGACGCAGTGGCGCAGTAGTTAGTGCTGTCGCCTCACAGCAAGAAGTTCGCTGCGTAGCTGGTTCGAGCCTCAGCTGGGTCAGTTGGCATTTCTGTGTGGAGTTTGCACATTCTTTCTGCGTTCGCGTGGGTTTCCTTCACAGTCCAAAGACATGCGGCACAGGTGAATTGGGTAGGCTCAATTGTCCGTAGTGTATGAGTGTTTGTGTGTGCATGTATCCCAGAGATGGGTTGCGGCTGGATGGGCATCTGCTGCGTAAAAATGTGCTGGATAAGTTGGCGGTTCATTCCGCCAAAAAAATGAATGAATGAATAGCTGTAGTTTATGCTAAATGGAAAAGGAAACTTTCATATACACACTCAGTCATTCACACTCATACACTACAGCCAATTTAGTTTATTCAATTCACCTATAGCGCATGTGTTTAGACTGTGGGGGAAACCGGAGCACCCGGATGAAACCCACACCAACACGGGGAAAACATGCAAACTTCACACAGAAACACCAACTGACCTTGCCAGGACTTGAACTAGTGTCTTTCTTGCTGTGAGGTGACAGTGCTAACTACTGAGCCACCATGTTGCTAAATGACACTGTATATGAATACAAATAGTATGAGAGTTTAATGAAAATATCTCATGATAACCTCTTTTGTTTTTGGTCATTAATTAATCTGACCTGGACAAGTTAATAATTACACGATAATGATAACTCACGCTGGTCTTTTCATTCCCTGATACTGTGGTCTGGACATGGTATTTGTAAGATAATGCCATGGTATTTTCCTGTATATTGTCGGTGTAGTTTGCTGTGATATTTTTGACTTACCCCTCATCCTGGTCTCTCCACCCGAACATCTTTCCTTCATCCAAGCAGCTAAATGCAAAGAAACAAGAGATACACATAAACAATACAGTAAATAAAAGAAAACCCAATGTCAATGTCAAAGTTAGTCTATGGATGTGTTTTAGGGTATTCAAGTGGTTGTTATCATCATGGTTTTAAGAGTGTTTAAGTGGTTGTTTATACATTGCTATGTTTAAGTTGATTTCAGTACAATGCGTTGTGGTTGCTAGGGTATTTGAGTAGTTGCTAGGGGATTGCTGTACAGTTTCTATAGAGACAACAATCTGAGTGTTTGCATGTTTTTGCAAGGGTGTTTTAAGAGGTTGTTATTGCATTCTAAACGTTTATAAGGATGTTTAAGTAGTTGCTAGTTTATTGTCATATGGTTGCTAGGGTATTTGAGTTGTTACTAAGGCATTGCTGTACAGTTTCTATAAAGAGACAACAATCAGAGTGTTTGCATTTTTTGCAAGGGTGTTTTAAATGGTTGTTAGTGCATTTCTAAAAGATTGTAAGGATGATTCGGTAGTTGCCAGTACATTGTTATATGGTTTCTAGGGTATTTGAGTAGTTGCTAAGGCATTGCTGTACAGTTTCTATAAAGAGACATCAATCAGAGTGTTTGCCTTTTTTGCAAGGGTGTTTTTAGTGGTTGTTAGTGCATTGCTAAAGCTTTGTAAGGATGTTTGAGTGGTTTCCAGTACATTGTTATATGGTTGCTAGGGTATTTGATTAGTTTCTAGAGCATTGCTGTACCGTTTTTCAAAAGAGACAACAATCAGAGTGTTTGCATTTTTTGCAAGGGTGTTTAAGTGGTTATTAGTGCATTGCTAAAAGTTTGTAAGGATGTTTAAGTGATTGTTAGTTCATTGCTATATGGTTGCTAGGGTATTTGAGTAGTTACTAAGGCATTGCTGTACAGTTTCTATAAAGAGACAACAATCAGAGTGTTTGCATGTTTTTTCAAGGGTGTTTTAAATGGTTGTTAGTGCATTTCTAAAAGATTGTAAGGATGATTCGGTAGTTGCCAGTACATTGTTATATGGTTGCTAGGGTATTTGAGTAGTTGCTAAGGCATTGCTGTACAGTTTCTATAAAGAGACATCAATCAGAGTGTTTGCATTTTTTGCAAGGGTGTTTTTAGTGGTTGTTAGTGCATTGCTAAAGCTTTGTAAGGATGTTTGAGTGGTTTCCAGTACATTGTTATATGGTTGCTAGGGTATATTTGAGTAGTTGCTAGGGCATTGCTGTACAGTTTCTATAAAGAGACATCAATCCAAGTGTTTGCATGTTTTTGCAAGGGTGTTTTAAATGGTTGATTGTGCATTTCTAAAAGTATGTAAGGATGATTCGGTAGTTGCCATGACATTGTTACATGGTTGCTAGGATATTTAAGTAGTTTCTAGGGCATTGCTGTATCGTTTTTAAAAAGAGTCAACAATCAAAGTGTTTGCATTTTTTGCAAGGGTGTTTAAGTGGTTATTAGTGCCTTACTAAAAGTTTTTAAGGATTTTTAAGTGATTGTTAGTTCATTGCTATATGGTTGCTAGGGTATTTGAGTAGTTGCTAGGGCATCGCTGTACAGTTTCTATAAAGAGACATCAATCAGAGTGTTTGCATTTTCTGCAAGGGAGTTTAAAGTGGTTGTTAGTACATTGCTAAAGCTTTGTAAGGATGTTTGAGTGGTTTCCAGTACAATGTTATATGGTTGCTAGGGTATTTGAGTAGTTGCTAGGGCATTGCTGTACAGTTTATATTAGACAGCAATCTAAGCGTTTGCTTTTCACCTGATTTCCATATGTCCAGATGTGCATGTAGTGTTTCGCTGCATTGTGGCGAACGCTGTCGGAAATCTTCCTCACTCATGGAACATAAATCTTTCCCATCCAGGTCTTGGAAAGCTTTTCCCACCTGTGGAAGCCTGTAGAGATGCTCCGTCCACAACAGCCACTTCTGAACGTTCCCACAATTCCACTCCATGGGGTCTGAAAGATCAGATCAGATCAGATAAGTCTTAATTTACACATCGGTCTGGAGCGCACTGTTGTGTTTCAGGGCTGTTTGGACAGCTCCAAATGTTTTGAAATGTCTTACAGAGAGTTAGTGGAGGAAAGCGTCATTCAGAAGAGCAAACAGTGAGGAGGGGTGTTCGCGCAAGGTGGTGTGACCTTATGAAGATGCAGAATTAACCATGACACCACAAATGAGTTGATCATGCTCATAAAAAATACTGAGAAATCAATAAATCAGTTGCAAGATGGCATGCCAGTGACAATTAAAGACAATTACGAGCTATTTTTAAGATGCATTGACATTCAAAAACAATACCTGCAAGACATTTTGCATTGTTTGCTTTCTTAGGTAGGGTTCCTCATCGTTATACGGGAGGGGTTTGAATGTCCTTAAGGAAAGCTCTGGGCATATTAGTGAAACTCCGGAGGATTAGGCAGATCCTGGTGTATATACTTTCAGCTGCCTTCAGGGCTGGCTGACTCAAAGACCTTTTTTTAACAGTTTCATTATGATTGTTTGCTCGGTTCTTTCATAACTCAGAGCTGTCTGTCACTCACGCTGAACATGATGATGAATGGAGATTTGTTCATTTGAATAAGTGTCACGATAAATGTCAGCATGTTAGGTTTTAATGCATAGGTGAACAAGATTTGTCAGGGTATTTCAATTGTAGTGTTTTTCTATATTTACAGTAGGTATGTTAATGTTATTATTTATAGCATGTCCACTCTACTGTATATGCAGTCTAAAAAATGTGGGTTGTTGTAACTTAATGTTGAGTCAAATATGCTCAAACATTGGGTTAAAAAGTGTCATTTATGTTTAATTAAAATAATTAGCCCAACATTGGGTCAAATACACACAAACTTTGGGCTAAAAAGTGTCATTTATATTTAATTGAAATAATTAGCCCAACATTGGGTCAAATACAGACAAACTTTGGGCTAAAAAATGTAATTCATATTTAACTGAGATAATTAGCCCAGTGTTGGGTCAAATACGTACAAACTTTTGGCTAAAAAGTGTCATTTATATTGAATTAAAAGAATTAGCCCAATGTTGGGTCAAATATGCACAAACTTTGGGCTAAAAAAAGTAATTTATATTTAATAGATATAATTAGCCCAATGTTGGGTTAAATACACACAAACTTTGGGCAAAAAAAATGTCATTGTTATTTAATTAATTAGCCCAATGTTGGGTCAAATATGCACAAACTTTGGGCTAAAAAGTGTAATTTATATTTAATTGAAATAATTAGCCCAATGTTGGGTCAAATACACTCGATCGTTGTGCTTAAAAATGGCATTTATATTTAATTAAAATAATAAGCTCAACGTTGGGTCAAACACGCACAAACCTTGGGCTAAAAGTGTAATTTGTATTGAATTGAAATAATTAGCTCGATGTTGGGTGTGTCAATATTTGACCAAACTTTGGACTATGACAATAGAGTGTAAATATACATATTTTTGGATATGTGTAAATCGTCATCGTTTGCAGTTGTTTTTAAAATTCTTACTGATTTTGCTGTAAATATATTACATCTATTATATTTATATAAAACAGCTGTTCAATTTGAATATGGTCCTTTATTTAGTAATATGTTCAAATACATCTCAATCCGAGCCTAATATTAATCTCATCTTTACTGTTTCTGAATACATTACTTATTGTGTTTTATTGTAATTGTGTTTTATTGTAATTATTTAGAAAAAAAGAAGAAGAAAATATTGCCTGCCATTTTAATGACCTATACATTTATTTTTTATGAGTGTTTTTATAAAGAATTATTCATATTTAAATTCATATTACCTTTTATGAAATAAAATATTATTTTTAGACATTTATAAAATTTAAATATATCTAGTATTCCTATGGTCGTAGTTTTAAGGAATGTAAAATTATATTTTCAATTCGTTATTTTTCTAAATTTTCCCAAGTCATGTTTAACAAAGCAAATACATTTTTACAGTATTTTCTATTATATTTTAAGTCATATTTTGAAGTGTTATTTTTACAAGAATACATAGTGAATACATATTTTTGCATATGTGTAAATCGTCATTGTTTGCAGCTGTTCATAAAATTCATACTGTTCCTATTTGAATATGGTTCTTTATTTAATAGTATATGTTAAAGTACATCTCAATCCAAGCCTAATACTAATCCCATATTTACTATTTCTGAATACATTACAGTTTGGATTTAATTAGAATGCAATAATTAAATTGCAATATTTATATTAAACAAATTTTTTTTGTTGTAATTATTTTTAAAAAGAAAATAGTGTATGTCATTTGCATGCATATATCTATACATGTATTTTTATGTGGTTTTATATTCATATTTAAATGCATATTCATTTTAGGAAATAAAATAATAATATTAGATATTAATAAAACATGTAACTATGTCTATTATATACATGTAAATATATCTGTTATTCTAATTTTCATAGTTTTAACTAAATTAAAATTATACTATATTATATTATATTAAAATTATATTACATTATATTATATTAAAATTATATTATATTATATTATATTATATTATATTATATTATGTTATATTATGTTAATAAAATTAAATTAAATTGCAATAAAAAACTATTTTTTTTCAAATTTTCCCAAGTCATGTTTAAGAAAGCAAGGACATTTTTTACAGTATTTCCTAATAAAATTAAAATAGCTTTCTGAAAAAAACATTAGGTTGGCTAAAATAAAATATAAAAATTATTTTAAAATGGCTTAGGTCAATATTATTAATCCCCTGTTGTCTAATAACTAGTTAATTCATTAACCTAATTAACCTAGTTAAGCCTTTAAATGGCACTTTTTTTTATTAAAACTATTATTTAAAATGTGTTGAAAAAATTGTCACTTGGTAAATATTTAAAAAATAATTGAAATTTAGCAAGAGGGCTCATAATTTTGTCTCAGTTGTATTTATAAAAATACATTTTAAAATTAAAATTTTATTCCTTCTTTTATTCCATTTATCTTAATAGAAAAGTCCGCGTTATCTCACCTGGTGTGATGTTGAGAAGTTTACAAGCTGTTTCGATGTCCTTCAGAACTTCTCCCACGACTAGACTCTGCACCTGCTCCAAGGATCTCTCCTCCACCTGTTCCTCCAGGGTGGGTGACAGAGGTGAGGCTCCCAGCCCAGGGCTGTCGATCACAGGGCACTGCTCGGGCTCCAGTCTGGCTCCAGCGGCCGCAGGCGCATCCGTAACCCTCACCAGCCACGCAGCATCCTCAGTGAACAGCATGTCAAAGCAGGACAGGTAAAGTCCTCGGTCGGAGGCTTTGTGTTCTAGCATCTCTGAACTTTGCACAATGCCATCTTCCCTTTTAAGAAGAGCCAGCGAGCTTTCAGTGAAGCCTGTGGAGTGCGGAGGCTGAAGAACAGCACTTTCTGAATGAATTCGAACCGGACTGGTCATGTTTGCCTGCAGAAGTTAGACAGAAGATACTCTAGATTAGTTTTTGGGGTATTTAATGCATCATAAACTCAACAAACCTCTGGTTCTTGAAGCTTTTAGTGTTCCATATCCAACCTACTCAACTTATCCCCCTCAAAAATAACAAAAGACTAAACTGAGATGATGCTGTTTCTGTTTTTAAGGCTTCAGGGTGAATGGGAATGAAGCAAGACAGTCAGTGCCGCATGGGGGAAGCAAACTGGATTTGACTGAGTCACTTACTCATGGGTCACTTGTACAGAATTGACGGCTGACACCGAAGCAAAGCAGCGGTTTTTGGAGGACTGCTTTCAAGGTGCCGTCGCCGCTCTCCTGTCTCCTGTGTCAGCGTGAGTTTTTAATCAAACGGCGAGGAGGAAAAGATGCTTCAAAAGCAGGATGACAGGAGAGGCGGGTTGGAGCTGATATCTATCTATAGCGGCCTGGAGATACAAAGGTGGGAAGATTGCTTGAAGGAAGGCGGCGGCTCAGGTTACAGGTTCACTGGAAGAACATTATGTCTCTGATGTACTGGTAAAAAAAATTGCAGCCTTCTAGAAACGTCTTTTTCAACCGGTGGTTAAAATTGTAAGAGTTTCCTTATTGAGGAAGCGTGTCTTGAGAACAGATATCGCAGGAAAAAAACAAGCATAAGAACAAAGACGACATGTTTTCAAAGCAGTATTAACTTGTGCAACTGTCAGTACAGGGATATTATAAACCACTGCTGGCATTTCTTCAGTATTACAAATCATTTTGATAACTAAAATGAAGCTGAAATAAATAATTGACACAAAAATGTTAACAATCAACTTTGCAATAACCGGCCACTTTATTAGGTACACCTTACCTGAACCAAGTTTGACCCACTTTTTGCCTTCATAACTGCTTTAATCGTTCGTGACATAGATTCAACAAGGCACTGGAAATATTCCTCAGAGATTTTGGTCTATATTGTCATGATAGCATCACGCAGTTACTGCAGATTTGTCTGCTGCACATTCATGATGTCAATCTCCTGTTCCACCACATCCCAAAGCTTTATATGCTCTATTGGATCGGGATCTGGTGACCGTAGAGGCCATTTGAGTACAGTGAACTCATTGTCATGTTCAAGAAACCAGTCTGAGATGATTTGCTCTTTATGACATGGTGCGTTATCCTGCTGGAAGTAGCCATTAGAAGATGGGTACACTGTGGTCATAAAGGGATGGACATGGTCAGCAACAATACTCAGGGAAGCTGTGGTGTTGACATGATGCTCAGTTGGTACTAATGGGCCTAAAGTGTGCCAAGAAAATCTCCCCCACACCATTACACCACCACCAGCCTAAACCTTTGATACAAGGCAGGATGGATCCATGCTTTCATCCTTCCGAATGTTCAGCAAAAATCGAGACTCATCAGACCAGGCAACGTTTCTCCAATCTTCTGTTGTGTAATTTTGGTGAGCCTGTGCGAATTGTAGCCTCAGTTTCCTGTTATTAGCTGACAGGAGTGGCACCCGGTGTGGTCTTCTGCTGCTATCGCTGATCCACCTCAAGGTTTGGCATGTTGTGTGTTCAGAGATGCTCTTCTGCAGACCTTAGTTGTAACGAGTGGTTATGTTATTTGATTATTTATTTATTACTGTTGCCTTTCTATTAGCTGGAACCAGTCTGGCCATATATATATATGTACACACACACACACACGAACAGTTTTACTCCTAATTCATTCAATCCAGAGAAATTGAGAGTGTTTAAGAGGTCCTCAAATATTTTTATTGCTGTACTAATGACATTATTTATTAAAGATAATTATTTTTTTATTAATATAAAATTACTAAAACAAAAAAGACATTAGCTAATAATGATGATAAATGTTCTTTATAAAAAATATAGGAATTACACGTTTATATTTTCTGATGCAAAATATAAGTGGTTTCCCATGAAAATAGTTTCCACCCTCACTTAGATGTATTGTAGATGCCTGAACATAACACTCTGATATTACAACTTTCCTTAAAAAATCATTTGTTCTTTGAGGAAAAGGTGTGTAATATTAAAGTCTGTCCTGGGGGTGTCTTAGAAACTACTCTGTAGTGAAGCTGTGAAATATTCACTGTGACAGAAACAAGGAACATCATCAATGATAAATCATCTTGTCCAGCTTTCCACTTAACATGAAGAACATCACAGGCTGCCAATGAGGAGCTGTCGGAACCAACAAAACCTCTTTACTGTGCCGACAAAGGTCATTGAAATACAACTCTAATTTGCATACTAAATTTTTGTAATGTCAGTTGCATTAAGTATTTTTCAACAGTGAATAAATATGATTTGGGAACTGTGGAGCCAAAAAATATTTCAGACTGAGCCATAAAGGAGTATAAAAACATGACAAAATGCTAAAAACTATATTTATTTTTTACACTTACATATCCATATTTCATATTTACAGATTCATATTGTTTAAAGGATTTAACCCTTTTAAAATGATTCACTTTATAGGCCAAATCTAAAGATTTTCCCCCCAAATATATACATGTTTAAAAATAGTTGCTGAAATGCTGAACCATTTTAATTGGTGTCAGTGTGGGTCATTTGTGTCCTAAAGGGGTTTACTGATCTGAAATAAATTTATGAAAGGAAATGAGTGTGAAAAATGAGGGTAAACTATTACAGTTTTAATAAAATGTTCATATTTGTTACAATTTGCACAATTATTGAGCTAATAGAGTTCATCGACGCAGCTGTTTACTAGCATTTGTTGACAAGATAAGTCAAGAATTACACTATAAAGTGAGTAATTGGATTAGAATAATGTGAAACATTTTGTTTGTAATCATATTTATAACAGAATATGTCTTATTTTACAGTCAGTAGATTGAAGAAATGCATCAGATGGGACCGTTTTGACTTTCAGACGTTTGCCGGTTGTTGCTAGATCACTGTTGGCAGATATAGCTTTCAGCTTAAAAGCTTTCGAAAACTCGCCCAAACGCACAAATAACTACCCTTAATGTTAAAGGCTATCATGGGGGTGGTTGTGGTGATCATAAGTGGCTATTAAGCGAACATCGGAGTTTTGGGATTTCAAAACCGCTCAAATTTTGGCAACCCGCCCAATCTGCCAACATCACTAGATCGACTATGGTTGCGGCCAGAAGCTAACGAAAATGGTCTATATCATTTATTAAATTTCTGATTAATTGTATTTTATTAACGCATACCCCTACACCAACCTACACCAGTACTGTAAACCCACATAGCAAAATTTCTCTGGCCCAGCTCTGGCCCACACAATCAGGTTTTGCTTGGCCCACATGCTGCAGTGAATTACGGTACATGACTGGACCAAATCTGGCTTCCAGACAAGGGCCAAACACGAACCATATCTGGGCCAAGTCTCAGCCAAGTTAATAACTCATAACTGGGCCTGAACTGGGCCAGATAGGTTGGTTTGTCACGATTGCAATGAAATTGATAAACCCATGGAGTGATGCGCTTTAGGCACACTATGGGCACGCTTTTTCTCAAAGTGACCTGATTGGTAGATTTTTTTTTCTTAACTCAAAAATGATTTTAGTGTATTTTAAATGTGTGTCAAGACTGGCCAAACTCACATGGCCCACTTATCAAATTTATAAATCTGGGCTAAATATTACGTTTTTCATCTGGCCCAAATCTTGTGTGCCGCCTTAAAAATGGTGCCACCTCTGCCAAACCCAGGCCATGTTTGGCCCACATGCTGTATGCCAGTGCCGGATGAATGCCTGCTGTGCCAGCTTTTTGCCAAATCTGGGCCAGAATTCTTTGCTACTAGGGAAACTATTATTTGTTGTTATACAGTGTCATAAAAATTATGATGTATCCTATCTAGACTTAACCATCTTTGCCGTCTTCTCGTGGTATGTAACGTAGGACAGCTACGTAAAACGGGACAGCTACGGTCAGCTACGGTCAAGACATGTGAACAGTTTTCAACCTTATGGTCACTTTATTTTTTCCTCATTGTCTGTTAGTGCTCATATGAAGTGTCGTCTTTTAATGCTCGTCCTAATGTATCGTTTGAGTTGCCAAAGTTGTGCTTTATGCCGTAAAGTAAGTCGCCAGTTTCTCGTTATTTCGTACCCCCTCAAAACCCAAAACTGTAACTAAAGGGAGAGTGGAATACATTGAAATGGATATTTAGAGGTAAAACATCTGCATATAACTACAGTTACTGCAAAAATTAAGTATTTCAAAATAAAACTAGGCTATTTGTGTGTTTTGCAGAAAAGACAACCGTCCTGTGTGTTTGGGACGACATGAGGGTGAGTAAATGATGACTCCATTTTAATTTAAAAGTAAAGTGGGACCTATTAATCCATTCTACAGTATTTAAATTCCCCCTAAACTTTACTTAACTAGATGACAAAAACCTTGTATCAACCTCATCTATTTCTGTATCATCCTGCGTTTTCCTTTGCGTTTTATCCTTGCTGAAAAATCCAGTTAAAACCAGCCTAGGCTGGTTGGCTGGTTTTAGTTGGTTGACCAGCCTGGTTTTAGAGGGGTGTTGGCCATTTCCAGGCTGGTTTTCAGCCATTTACATCCTGGTCTTAGCTGGTCAGGCTGGAAAATTACCAGCCAAACCCAGCTAAAAATAGCTTGACCAGCCTGGTTTAAGCTGGATATAGCTGGTTTTGGCTGGACTCCCAGCTTGGCTAGGCTGGTCAAGCTGGTTTTAGCTGGTCATCTCCCAGCCTGACCAGCTAAGACCAGGCTGGGAATGGCTGGAAACCATCCTGGAAGTGGCCAAAACCCCTCTAAAACCAGCCTGGTTGACCAGCTAAAACCAGCCAACCAGCCTAGGCTGGTTTAAGCTGGATTTTTCAGCAGGGATTGGTCATAAATGTTCAGTATGTAGACCCTGTGAAGGTATTTGTTGGCCAGCCTCCTCTTTTATAAGTTAATATCGGCCTATAATTGTTTGATTTAAAGTTTACGGCAGCACAGATGGAG